AAAAAAAAAAAAATGGTAAGTGGTTCCTTGCTTCACAGACCAAACCTCTAACACAATTTTGACTTACTTTCAAAAACAATGAAAATCAACTTAGCTTAGTGTTCTTTGTTTCAGATTTTTTGCATTTATTTGGGGAAAGCATGATTCCAGAGAAGACTATGGAGTTCCAACATATCATCCCTATATCTGCAGTTACTGGAGAAGGAATTGAAGAATTAAAGAATTGCATAAGAAAATCACTGGATGAGCATGCCAACCAGGAAAATGACACATATCATAAGAAACAGTTGCTAAATTTACAGATTTCTAGTACAGCATCTTGCAGCAAGCCACTGTCCGAGCATACTGTTACTAGAATGGATGTAGTTTAAGTCTATTAAAAACAGTATTGGTGGAATACATGTTTCCCTGAAAATAAGACCTACCCAAAAAATAAGCACTAGCAGGATTTCTATGCATTTGTTAAATATAAGCCCTACCCCGATAATAGGACATAGTGATGGATGTGGCTATGTAGATGCCGTGCATTTCAGCAAAGAGCGGTAAGGAAGACTGGAATGCCTTTATCTGTCACAGCTCCTTTCTCCCAGCCCTTCCCACTTGTGCGGGTGTGCATGTGGTAACTGCGGTGGCAGGTATCCTATTGCACACTATAGGCTAGGGGAAAGGAGTTCATGCATCACTAGCACCAGCTCCCCCTGTCAGGTTCCAGAAGATGACATAACTCTATTTGAATAAATGTAGATTGTTGTATTATACTTAATAAAAATAAGACATCCCCTGGAAATAAGCCCTAGTGTGTCTTCTTGGGAAAACATAAATATAAGACAGTGTCTTATTTTCAGGGAAACATGGTACTATTTAACCTTAAGAAAGAAAGAAATCTTGTTTTTTGTGACAACATGGATGAAACTGGAGGACATTATGTTAAATGAAAAAAGACAGGCCTAGAAAGACAAATACTACATGGTTTCACTTAACATGTGGAATCTTAAAAAATTTAGCTCTTAGAAGCAGAGAGTGAAAAGGGGATACCAGAGGGTCAGGGGATGAGTAGATAACATATTGATGAAAGGATACAGAATTTCACTTAGATAGGAATGTTCAAGAGATCTACCATGTAGCATTGACTATAGTTAATAACAATATGTTGGCTTGGTGTCTGTGGCTCAAGTGGCTAAGGCTCCAGCTACATACACCTAAGGTGGCAGGTTCAAATCTAGCCTGGGCCCGCCAAACAACAATGGCAACTGCAACCAAAAAAATAGCCAGGTGGTGTGGCTGGCGCCTGTGGTCCCAGCTACTTGGGAGGCTGAGGCAGGAGGTTTGCTTGAGCCCAGGAATTAGTGCTGTGAGCTGTGATGCTACAGCACTCTACCCAGGGGAACTGCTTGAGGCTCTTTCTCAAAAAAAAAAAAAAAATGTGTTGTATTTTTTAAAAATCAGGAGTACATTTTAGGTGTTCTTACCACACAAAGTATATGAGGTAATGCATATGTTAATTAGCTCAATTGAGCCATTCCACAATTTATATATATTTCAAAATAAGGTGTATGTAAATATATACAATTTTTCTATGTCAATTAAAAAAATAGTATTGAGATTGTGTATAGTAGTATTACTAACCTTTTAAAGTGTTTTTTGTAGTTGAGTATATCAATAGCAAAAAGAAAAGTAACTGAGAGCTAAAAATTACATTTTATAAGTTTATGATCCATCCACCTATAGTAATATTCTCTGATATTCCTTTATTTATGATGTTCCTATTGGGATCATTTTTAAAAAATAATATAGATTCCCTTGATTATTAGAATGAGCAGGTAAGTTGGTGGTTTGTTGCTGAGTCTGTCCTGTTCTTGGTTACACTAAATACATACTAGGTCTCTTTTTTGGAAAACTTCAAAACCCTGAATTTGAATGTATGGTTAGTGATAATAAAGATTGTGGATAATATTTAACAGAAACCAGCAGATAGAAGTTTGTGATTTGAACTTTTGAAATTTTTTTTTTCTTAGGCATTTTTTCCTACATTACGAGAGGCTGGCCCATATACTTCATCTTCTTATGTCCTAGTCTGTTTCACTTTCCATGTTCATATTTTAGTAAAGAGAGAGCAAACAGGAAGTACTCTTATTAAATAAGACTATCCGTTGGGCATGGTGGCTCAGGCCAGGAGTTGGAGACTGTCCTAAGCAACATAAGATTCGTCTCTACAAAATAATATAAATATAAAAAATTATCCAGGTGTGGTGGCACATACATATAGTCATAGCTACTTGGAAGGCTGAGTGGGAAAGGTTGCTTTTGCTTGAGGCCAAGAGTTTGCATTACAATGAGCTGTGATCACACACTAGCACTCCATCCAGCCTGGGCAGCCCAGTTAAACCGTGTCTCTACACAAAATAAATAAGTAAAAATTATCAGTCATCAATGTATTTATAGGAGAATGCAATTTCCGAATTTCCACCTAAGTATTTCAAAAATAGAAATCGAGTGTTTTCTTTTTAAAGGAGTTTTATTATAAAATTTACATGTTCATTGTAAAACACCAAACATTCAAACAGTACAAAAGCATATAAAGTAAAAGATAAACCTCCCTTTTCTTTTGCATGAGGGCTCTCAGTTGTGCCCATAGAAAACCACTGTTAATACTTTTGTGTTCTTACAGAAATTTTTATGCGTTTTTTTTTCCAAATGAGTTCATCATGTAAATTTTTTAATTTCTTTTTTATAAAATAGCAAGTTAATGAATTTTTTAAAAATCTTCAGTACTACCTTTAAATTATTTTGGAATTTAATGTTTAGCGGAGCCTTTATATATGGCTATTTATACTTTTGTAAAGTATTAAAGAAATATGATGAATTGTTCTGGACTTAAATTTCTTCTTTGTGAACATCTTTTTACTAGTATTATTTCACTTTTATTTCTTCTCTTTTCCATTCCCCACTCCTACTTCCTATTCCAGTCCCTGGACTGGCCCTTACTGTATTTTTTTCTTCTTCAGGGCACAGGTCTCATGTCAAGTACTGTAGAGCAGGGGTCCTCAAACTTTTTAAGCAGGGGGCCAGTTCACTGTCCCTCAGACCGTTGGAGGGCCGGACTGTGAGCCCCAGGACAAGTCAGCTGCTAAGCAGGACAGGCAGCAGTGGCAAAAACACCCAGTGGGCCAGATAAATGTCCAAGGGGGCTGCATGTGGCCTGCGGGCTGTAGTTTGAGGACGCCTGCTAGAGGATATTACATGGATAGCGTTGAAGAGAACAGAGAGGATCTGCTGTCTTCCTGGAGCCCACATTCAGTAGCAGAAACTGCAGAGGTTTGCAGTTCCACTTTACAACAAAGGAATGAGAGTGGGGGAAAGCATTTAGAATTTGTACTGATCATAGTGATCATGGTTCATAGTAGGTATGTTTTATATTCATTACTTCAGTATCATTTCCGTTTTCTTTGCTAGCTCTATTAATTCCTAAATATAAACAAGCATCAATGTGAACACAGTTTAATCAGATGAATTCCTAAAATCCTGATACCATGATCTTAGTTTGAACGGTGGCAGAGGATAGTAAATGTACGTTGAGGATTAAGGGGAATGCTGTCTATCCTATTTGCTCTGTCAGTAATACCCAGGGAACCATGCTGCAATGGAGTGAAGCATTTTATTAGGTGATTCACTAAAATGTTCCACTTAGTAGTATTTTCTAGTTACCAAAAGCATAGTCTATGTACCTTTATTTGATTTTTTATTTTTATTCTAAACAAAATTAATAATTTGATTTTTATTCTAAACAAAAGGAAAAAAATCCAGATGCCTTTTGTATTTATGAAAGCTTAATTTTTAAAATATTAGGATTTGTTTTGAAGTAATAACTTTTAATATTTAAGATGCATTTTATTTTGCCCCATAGAACTTTTCATTTTTAACTTTAAAAATGCATTCTTCAAATACAAACTTTTTAGAATATTTAATCATTAGAGGTGTTACTGAATAACACCAGTATTAAATGCAGTATATAGCAAATTTTTACAAAGTCCTACTAGTTCTTGCAGAGTTTGCTGTAACAGATTGATTTACCATAATAAAATACAAGTTTTATACCCATAGATACTGTCTGATACTGTGCTGGGATGTTGGATCTGTGCCATGAATATTCCACCTATGGAATAAACAATTCCAGAATACCTATTGTGCTTTTTGTGATATGTACCCATATCATGGTGAGATGAACTTTATGTTTTCTTTTAAATGGTATTAGTTATGTGATCAGGGAAAATTATAATAGGAAAAATTAGGTCAGAGTTTTATTTCAGGTTTTTAGTTTTCTTGTGATATTGTGTTTCCTTTTAGCTTAGAGCTTATTTGCTGTGCAGGGATGGAGGTTAGAGATTCCTTAGAGTAGTTAATAAAAATCTGAAAGCTACAGATTTTTTCCTTGGCAAAAGAATGTACAGAAACACTTGAAATATTTTTAAACCAGTTTCAAAGGGTTTGCAGAGTTTAGATTTAAAACTCAGTTAACAAAGGTAAGTTCATGCAGAAATCAACAGTGTTATTAAGGTGCAATTAAAAATGTTTCAAAGTAACAGCATACGTATACTTACAAAGTATAGCTTTAAAAGTGAAAATTACCAATGATGCAAATTATAAGCCTACACAAATGACACCTTATCACAAGAATATGGTAACATTTTGTTTAAAGACCAAATAGTGAATTTAATGTATATTTTTGAATCCATGAGACTGTCTTAAGTTTGGTTTAAATCTGTCCTTCCTCACGGAATAGATAAGTAAAACAAATCCAGAATTTTCATATGCTGAACAGTGTGCTGAGCAGATCACAAATAATAACTTATTTAAACACTGTACCATATTGCTTCCTGGTCACCTATTATTTTTTTAGCTTGGGTAGTGTATACATGAGGTTTTTTGTTTTTTTTTTTAACTTGTTCAAGAGTCTAAAATAATTTGATTTTTTAAAAAGACATTTATAAAAAAAATAGTTTGCCTTATAAAAACTTATAACTGAGGAATTAAGCCAGTGAGGTAAATACAGTTGACATAAAATGTTGGCAGACGGCATTCTATAATTTTTACCTCAAAGCTAAACATTAATGAAAAACATCTTAAAGAGATATTTCACATGCATTTTATTTGGTTTCCGTTTTCTGAGTGGAGCTTGGCAAGTACGGGTAATAATGTGTTAGGGGAACCTCTTTAGCTTTGCATGGATAACACTTCAGCTAAAGGAAAAAAGCAAATAGATAATAGAAATGAAGAAGAGAGGAAAGAAATAAAAATATACATGTTGGAAAGTTGTAATACGTCCCTGTGAATAACTTAGGAGTAACAGATAAGGTTATTGCTTTATTTGACTATTGTAAGCATAAAAAAGCTGGAGGC